TGTGGGGAAGTAAAGTTAAAAGCAAAAGGTGTAGTTTTGATGCAATTAATATTGAATGCTGTTGGACCACTTATAATTCTAGGAAGGAATGATTGAATAAATGATTCAAGTTTACTTTGTTCAAAATTTTACTTGGAAAAAGTGGTGGAGGTGATATTTTTAAAATCTGTGATCCACTTCAGGAGAAGATTGAGAGGTCAGAGTTTTTCCTGTACCTGTTTCTTAAATTCCTTCTTTTAAAAATATTCAGTATCCAATATGCTATATTTTGGGGTACTGTCTTCTAGTTTTCTTAGGATAGCATAAGCTTTATTCTTGATATTATTCAAGTCAGGTTGTATTAGGGTAGCATTAGGAGGTTAGATTAGAACCAAAGTATTTAGATTTATAATCAATATGATTTGCATAAATTCGATCAGTAAATTTTTAAATATATTTTATTGATTTTTTACAGAGAGGAAGGGAGAGAGATAGAGAGCTAGAAACGTCGATGAGAAAGAAACATGGACCAGCTGCCTATTGCACACCCCCTACCGGGGATGTGCCCGCAACCAACGTATTGTACATGCCCCTGACCGGAATCGAACCCAGGACCTTTCAGTCCGCAGATCAACGCTCTACCACTGAGCCAAACCGGTTTCGGCAAGATCAGTAAATTTTTATAAGCATACACATATTTATAATCTGATCTTAACTATTATGTGTTATCATAGTACCATTGTTGCAAGGTGTTGGATCAGAGTCTTTGTAAAAGATATATTATATGGAGGTAATCACTGTGAGCTACTCCATATGGGTTATGGATGCTACTCTATATGGGAAGACTTAGCTATTTTTCAAGACATGTCTTATCAGCTGTGGAAAGGTTGGTAACCTAAGAATTAGAAGTTAGCATATCATATTCAGCTTGTATTTCCATAGGAAAATAAAGTACAATGAAAAAGATGCATTTACTTAAAAAACAATAAGCTTGTTTCTAAACATTGCCTAACATTTAAAAGTAAATTTTTTATAAGTTAAAATTTAACAAAAATATATTATTTAAATTGTAATTTCTTGACATATTCATCTTTTAGCTCCTAATTAGTAAATTTGAGTGCTAATTAAGTTGAAAGTAATGGCAGAAGAAATGTTGAGGTTATTAGCTCAAGAGTATCTCTAACTAGTAGTTTATAGAAGTGCTTTCCAAACATTACAAACAACTATAGATTAGCTATCAAATGATTGTGAAGATTAATGACTAGTCTTTTAGCTGGGTAATTTAGAACAATATCTGGTAATTAATTAGGAATTATCAGTCACAAATACCATTAGGAAAACAGTATCAAAAAAGATAAGAGCAATGATAATTGCTCTTTGGCAATTTTGCTTTTAGGCAATTGGAGTACACTAAGGGGAAATTTAAAAGTCAACTTTATAATTTAAAAAGCATTTTTAATATACATATTTACAGAAGAAACAGTAAACAAGTTGGTTTGCTTAGGGAAGGCATAACACTATTTTGAATAGATTTGACTACAAGTGTAGAGGCAAGTACAATCCACTGGTTTTTATCCAAAAGAAAAATTAGTATTCTTATACATTTTTGACATCTGGAATCAAGTAAGTACCCATGCTCTGAACTCCCATAGAGACAGGAGACAGGTCCCCACCACCCTTGATGTTGTTAGACCACTTATAATTCTAGGAAGGAATGATTTAATAAATGATTCAAGTGTACTTTTCATATTCTGGCTGCAAAGAGATAGTCTCACAGTCCCAAGGAAAGACCTCCCTGGGATGCACGACTAGCAAGAGGTTTAGTGATATATTTCATAATAAAGCAATTCAAAATCCTTAATTTGAATAAGAAAAAGCAAATGATTATTAAACTAAACTCATTCTAACACTAGAGATCTTTGTTTTCAAAATCACTGTGAGGTTGGTAATTACGTGACTTGTATTCCTTAGATGATAATTGTGTTGGTGCAGAAATGATCTCCCTAAAGTCAGTTTTCCAAATAAACTGATACTGTAAGAAATCAGATCATGTCTCCTTATTCGGATTTCTGTAATGGTGAAAAAAATTCAAAGTCTTTAACATAGTCTGTAATGCTCCATTTTTATTATCTAGCCATTGGCTACATCTCTGACTTTTCCATATATAGTTCTCTGTCTACTGGTCTATTATTCCTCAAACATACCATGCTTATTTTGGCTTTAGGACCTTTGTATTTGTTCTTCTTTCTGCATGAATCTGTTTTACTTCTAATACGCTTGCTCTCTCACTTTATTCTTATTTCTTTTCAAATATAGTATCTTCAGATACCTTGCCCATTTACCCTAGCAAAATACACCTTTTCCACCTAGACTATCTTTAGTTATTTTCCATCTCCTTTTTTCCTCCAGATTTCTTATTTCTTGTCATTTACCTTATGTTTATATGTTTATTTTGAGCTAAGAGCTGGGGGGAAATCAATAAAAGGCCAAAGGCTTTCTGAGGTCTGCCTCTACCTCTACTACTCGGCCACCAGGTTGCCTGGTCTTCCTCCAGAGCCTTCTGAAGAAATACTGTAGAGTGGGCTCAGGTTGGCTGCACCCCATAGACCCTTCCACAAAGCGAGCGCTCAGTAGGGTGGGGTTACTGGGGTCAGGAGGATGGGGCTAGTGGATCTCCTACTTGGGGGCAGTATGGTCAGGAACTCAGCTGGGGTATTGGCCCCTACCCAGAGCCATTCCATGCAGTCTCTGCCAAATCTCCAACTCTAGCTCTCCAAGGGGGAGGGCTCTGTAGATTCAGGTTGGGTGCAGCCAACTGTCCCCTCTGTAGGAGGCCTGAACATTTTTATTGTTTGACGTATCACATCATGGCATGAATGTACTATGGATGTCCATGATTCAAGGCTAGTTAATAGCTATAGAAGGAAATGTGTGCATTGTGTATTATTATTTTTCCTTGCCTTTTACCAAACAATTCATGTATTAATAAACTGTAATTATGCTTCTACTTTCTTCAAGTATTAGTATAATCTTTTGAGAGACATTTCCCATTGCAGCACTAATGACAATCACATAATTATTGGCTATAAGATAATCTTGATTAGATAAAAAAAATCATAAACCTTTGACATTAAAAATCACAGCACTTTTATGCTTTTTCCTAATCATTTTATTTCCTTTTAGTTGGGTAAAAGGCTAAGCATGATATGGGGATGCTGACAGTGTTGAATACATAGTCAGTGACATACAAGTGTAACAAATGAGTGCATAGATGGAATAACTGTAATTTTCAGGCCATTTGTGACCAGTTCAGAATTGGAAAACTACTGTTGACCTTTGGTGAAAGGTTGAATTTTATTTTCACTTCTAAAAGAATTTGTATTTTCTAGCTTAGTAAAAAAGGTTTTAGTAATCTATAATAATAAAAGCATAATATGCTAATTAAATCGGGCAGCTGAATGACCTTCTGGATGTCCTTCTGGATATCCGTCCTGGTGACCTTCCGGATGAAGCTGGGGCTAAGGCAAGCTGCTGCAGTTGTGAGGGCCAAGCCCCTTGCACAAATTTTGTGCATTGGACCTCTAGTTTAAGATATAGGAGCTGCTCAAATTGTGAGCATAATTGATAGTTTTTAATTTCTGCTGAGTATAAGTCATGGGGAAATGAGTTTTCATTGCAGTTGAAACAATATGTTATCTAGTCCATCACATATTTTTCAATGGTACATACTTGGATCCTGGTACAACTTGGTAGAGGCCAATTGAATAGTGTGTTCTTTTCCTGTATATCTCAAATAGTCTGAATAACAATGTTCTTATTGTAGTTTGATAGCATGCTACCTGTTAGCATTAAGATTAGCTATAATTTTTCTTGGTTGTTCAGAATTTTGTGATTGACTTAACTATATATATGAAGAGTCAGCGTATGTAACATTCACAATGACCGAAGGGATGACCAAATGTCAGGCTGCACGTGCAGCAGGCTCGGGTGGGCAGGGACTGGCAAGCAGGCTGAACTGCTGATCTTTCAGAGAGTGAGTGAAGTGGGGCTGATTAGCAGCCTTGCCAGCAGCCGAGCCCCTCTCTCTATCAGAGGTGAGCAGTTTAGCCCACTCACCAGCAGCCTGTGATGGTTGTTGATCAGCCCCACTTCTATGATCAGGCCCAGAGATAGACCCACAGACACTGACTGGCATAGAAACCAACCAATCAGAACCAAATCTGGGTGAACTGTGAGGAGCCAGTGGCTGCTTAGGAGGCGGAGCTTTTGATGCTGAGTGGCATAGAAACTGACCAATCAGAACCTAATCTGGGTGAACTGCAAAGGCAGAACCTAAGGTGGGGGCTGAGGAGGGGTTTTAAGGGCAATAGCTTATTTGGTATAAGGTGTAAGAAAGCAGTTCAATTTTTAAATGACTGGTTTGGCAGTATGGTACATATGGCTGTATCAGTCCAGATATAGGGATTATGTATTTTTGTCTGCCAAAAATACATAATCCCTATATCTGGACTTTTTGATGAAAAAGGCTCCCCCTCTCTCATTTAAGCAATTCTATTTAACCTATCTATACTACTAAAATGGTAATATGCTAATTAGACCGGGTTGACCTGCCATCTTCCGGATATCTAACTTCCTTGGGACAAAACCATGGTGGTGGGGGCCAAGGCAGAGGCAGTTAGGAACGATCAGGTGGGCAGGCAGGTGAGTGGTTAGGAGCCAGTGGTCCCAGATTGTGAAAGGGATATCTGACTGTGGGATGGGGCCTAAATTGGTAGTCAGACATCCCCCCCAAATGGTCCGCATATGGAGAGGGTATAGGCTGGGCTGAGGGACAACCCCCTCCCTCCTGGTGCACTAATTTCATGCACCAGGCAGATAGTCATTTTATAAGGATAATATAGGAAAATTGTTTTATTGCATTTATATAAACTGGATATTTGAAAAGTTGTTAAATATATTTATGTTCTGCATACTTTGTTTTTTTTTTGTCTATTTTGACTGATTATATATTTTTCATCTAGGTCACTTTCGAAATACACAAAGAAAACCTTGCCAACATATTTAGGGAATACCAGGGAAATGTTGATGAAGATATAGGGCAATGTTCTTCAAGTTCAGTTAAAGCAGTCTCTGGCATTAGCAGGGATGTAAATGTTTCTGGAGGATCCCAACAATCAGATACGAAGGATTCTCCTATATCTCCTCATGTCAACAAAAATAGTGATGGAAAGCCAGGTATTGAGAAGACAAGTTCTTTTGACTCTCCCTCCAACATTGAACTGCAGACTTATAATACAGGTAATGAAGAAATGACAGCTGGGCAAGGAAATGAGGAGTTACTGGATGAAGTCCCTTTAGAGAAAACACCGATAAATGACATAGCCAAAGCAGGTGATTTAGAAGTATCTTCTGACACAGTAGAAGTTGGGACCATTTCCTCTAATACTTTGAAAACAGTTGACAAAGATATGACTGTCAGTGAAGTAACTGCTTCAGTAAGTTCTCCTTCAGAAGAGGATGCTTCAGAGGCGCCAGAATTATTGGATAAGTCTATAGGAGAGGAAGAAGACGATGAGGATTATGTAGAACTGAAGGTAGATAGTAGTCCTACTGAGGAAGCCAGTCTACCCACAGAGCTCCAAGGAAATAGTTTGTCTCCCCATTCAACTGAAGCCAGGGAAAGACTGGACATGATTGATAATGACCCAAAATTAACATTTCAAGAGGAGGAACCTGTAAGTAAGAAGCCAGCTGATACTGAAACTCAAGATTCTAATGATGCAGGATCTTCAGCTACCTCACCAGACACGACTGCTTCCCAAACAACTATGCAATCAGACATTGGTCAGATGCTGGATGAAGGGAAGAAAACAACTGACTTGACTAGAGAAACCAAAGCAAGTAATGATGCTCATGGTAATGTCTTAGAGTCTCCTACTACTTTTGAACAGAAGATTGCAAGGTTGGATGTTTCCAGTGTTGCCACAGATACCGAGAGACTAGAATTGAAGGCCAGTACTAATGTGGAGGCACCTCAACCTCTTCAACCTGTGCTTGAGGTGATTATGTCTTCTTGAAATGTGTTTGCTTGAGATAAAATAGAGCAAGTGTATGTATATTTTATTTTTCTTTAGAATTCATTGTATCAGATTTGCAATTACATAAATGCAATATATCTAAAGATTTTATTTCTTTAGCACAGTATTTGGGTTGTAGTATGTGTTCATTTAATGGCAATTTTTATTTAACAGCATCACTAAAAGTTACTATCAATTTTCAGAATTTGCATAATTTTACTTTATAAAGCAAGTATTAGCAATACTTGTCTTTTACACTTTTTTTTACAACCCAGCCATAGCACATTAATTTTCCAACAAAATCTAGAATTTCATTCCTGCAGAACCACCTGATAGTATATACTGTTTTATACAAAGTATGTGTTTTAAAATAGTTCCGTGAAGTATGTTTAATTTGAAGGCGGGAAGCTTTTGTGAGATGTGAGCCCAGTTGATAATCCAGATATTGCCTTTCTTTAATGCTATTCAAAACAAAGAACGTCTCTGAATTCTTTTATAAAATGCCACATCAGCTGGTGGTAATACTAACGGGTTCCAAGTTAATTTTGTTGAATTCTACTAGTTTAGTATATCTGATAACTGCTTTAAATGTATTAAAATCTTTTCATTACTCATTGATAATTTTTCTCTAATTTGGTTCCTTAGTATTTTAAAATGTATTTGTTAGGTGCATTTTATAGAAGATTTAAAATTACTTATTAATGCCTTCCTTTAAAATTGAACTTATTTTATTACTCTCTTTAATTTTCTGTATTAGACATCAAGGCAACAGGAGCAGTCAGGGCAAGGAATAGCATCAGATGCCGTTAACGGACAAAGGAGGGATTCCAGACCTACTATGTTTCGTATTCCTGAATTCAAATGGTCTCATATGCATCAACGTTTGCTCACTGATCTGTTATTTTCAATAGAAACAGATATACAGATGTGGAGAAGGTTTGTCCATATGTTTATTATAGAAGATGTTGTATAATAAGTTTTAGCCTTTGCTTTCAAAGAAATTTACATAGTTTTGTAATTAATTGCTTAAAAATAGAATATAAATTATTTCTGTGGTAATGTTTTATTGAATTAACTTACTCTTCATTATAAAAATGAATTACTGTCTCATTATAAGAACTTGAAGGTTTTTCTTTTTAAAAATTTGCCGAACATTTATTTCCTATAACGTATTTTACATTATGTAATTCACATGGAGGTAGATCCACCACAGGGGTTTATTATTAGAGATACTAAAAAAAAAAATTGGGATTTAAGAATAACTTCAGCTCTCCAGGGAATTTTTGGTATAGCAAAATCTGTGTTTTAGATTATCCTTGGTTGTATGATTTATGATTTTAAAACTGCCTAATTTGTTTATTGTTATTTGTATATTACTTTTATTCCATTAAAAAGCATGTTATGACATTATCTAAGAAAACGTTAGTAGAAAATTTATTTTCAGTAGCACATTTAGCACCATTTACCTCTAAATTTTTGCCAAATGTCTTCTCAGTTTTGTTCCCAGTTAAGAATATTTCAGTTCAACCTTTTATATCAAGTGTCAGATGAATAGTATTTATGTTTCAGCACTGGAAAAGGGCTTGGATAGTAACTGCTGCTATGGAATGGCCCGCATCTTCTGAGGAAGTATACACCCCCATGTGTCTGCTGCATCATTATCTTACTCAAGCTTTCAAGATGAAGCAAAAGCACCTTCTTATCCTCCCTCCCCTCAAGTAGGCAAATTGTGATTTTCTTTCTTTAGCTTTATCAGTAAACACCATTTATCTTTGGACAGCCATTCAACAAAGACAGTTATGGACTTCGTGAATAGCAGTGATAATGTCATCTTTGTACACAACACAATTCATCTCATCTCTCAAGTGATGGACAATATGGTCATGGCTTGTGGGGGTATACTGCCATTGCTTTCAGCTGCTACATCGGCTACAGTAAGGACTTAACTACTCTATAAAAAATTGGTGTGAAAACATGATTTTTATGCATCTTTATTGATTAAAACTTGAATGTACTGTAAATCAAAAGCAACAGAAAAGGAAGTACTAAAAAGAATGCTGATTTCTTAGGGATGTGTCAGCTAGTGAATATAAAATGATTGACAGTGTTTCACCTATATGTTTCCTTGGCCTTTTTTTTTTTTTTTTTTTTTTTTTGAAATGATAAGGAAATTACTTTGTGGTAGAATTCTGAAAGCCTGGCTTTTTATAAAATATAGAACGTTGGGAAATGATGTAATAAAATTACATTTTTATCAGACTAGAGATTTAATTGTCAAACTTGATTCTTTACAGCATGAGCTGGAGAATATTGAGCCTACTCAGGGCCTCTCCATAGAAGCCTCTGTGACATTTTTGCAGAGGCTAATCAGCCTTGTGGATGTGCTCATATTTGCAAGTTCTCTGGGTTTTACTGAAATTGAAGCTGAAAAAAATATGTCATCTGGAGGAATTTTGCGGCAGTGTCTACGACTTGGTGAGCTGTTAAAACCCATTAGTTAGGAATTTACTTGAAAAATTTTTACTATTCTAGACAAATTAAAAAACATTATCTTTTTCTTGTTGTTAGGCAAATGTGTGCCAGTCATTTTGTCATATGCTACTTTTAAACTTGCTGAGAGTGAAAGACTGTGTATCTACTCTGCTAGAGTAGTATTTGACAAGTTGAATAGAGGAGGAAGGACATGTTTTGAAAAAATCAACTAAGTTGATACTGGTCAGCATTCCCCCCCTCTTTCCTTAATCTTTTTTTTTTTTTTTTCTATAAGGTAGTGCTTCTCAAGTTACAAAAATAAAATTTATACACATGAATCACCAGAGAGGATCTGGTTAAAATGCAGAGTAGATTATATAGGTCTGCGATGAGGCCTCAAATTGTATTTTTAACAAGTCCCAGGTAATGTGCAAATTACCAGTTGTAAAAATAGTCATAGGGAATGTGGGGTAAAACATAGAGACTATAGTCAGCAATATTATAATAAGTATGTATGGTGTTAGATGGGCAGTACATTTATTAGGGGGATTGCTTCCTAAGTTATATAAGTATTTACCTGAAACTAATATAATATTGTTTCCCAGCTGTAATTGAAAAAAAATGTTTAAGGAAAAGAGAAGAAAAAAAGGATAATTCATACACATGAATCACCGAAGAGGATCTTGTTAAAATGCAGTTTAGATTACATGTGTCTGGGATGAGGCCTGAACTCTAATAAGTCTAGGTGATGTTGATGTTGCTTCTCTTACTAACACACTTGAGTAGCAAGATTCTAATCTAGCATGATTCCAGCACAGCTTTTGTCCAAAAAAACTGTGGTAATAATGTTAAAGCAGGTAATAAAATCCTAAATCTCTATTCTTCTGGAGGCAGTACTTCCTTAGGTAAAAGTTAAAATCTGTGAAAAGAATTTTAGTATCATTAGGCTGCCTTACGTAAACCATTTTTTTTTTGTTTTGTTTTTTACTTATTATAGGAAGGTTTCCTATATCCAGTTGTAAATACTGAGACTTTGTTAATGATTTGTTTATTAAATGGAGAGAAGTAGGTTAGAGAGAGTGAGACCAAAACAATTACAAGCTATGGCTTATGAAGTCAGACTGGAAATAAAAGGCAGTATTAGAAGTGGGAAGTAGTTAATGAAGTATTTCCCCATATTTAGTAAGTATGTTATATAAACCGAGATATATTTGTAATTAGTCTTTTTTGGTACAGTGATTATTTTTACTCAAAATGCTATTCAGAGTACTTTTAAACTTAGGATGCTTTAAAGAATTTGGCATAACAATTTTAGAAAGTTGTTTTAAATTTATTTTATTTTTATTTTATTGATTTTTTATAGAGAGGAAGAGAGAAGGATAGGGTGTTATAAAAATCAATGAGAGAGAATCATTGATCAGCTGCCTCTTGCACACCCCCTATTGGGTATGTGCCCACAACCAAGGCATATGCCCCTGACCAGAATCGAACCCGGGACCTTTCAGTCCACAGGCTGACGCTCTATCCACTGAGCCAAACCAGTTTTGGCAGTTGTTTTAAATTTTAAGTAAGGAAGACTTTGATAATAGTGTGGTAAAGACCTGGGGAGGGGGTGAAGAAGGAGTAGAGGGGACAATGGGAGGAAAAAAGTAGACATTTGTAATACTTTCAACAATAAAGATAAATTTAAGAAAAAGATTCAAATGGTGAACATAACAAAACTAGCTATTACTTATTGACTACTGTAATTTGTCATTATTGCTGATTTTCACAATGGGTCAACAATCATTTTCCTTTTTTTTTTTTTATTCATGAGGAAAGTTGAGATCAGAAAAAATAGGAAACGTAACAAAATTCAGAATGTGTAATTGGTGAAGTTGGAATGCTAATATAGTAGCTTATTTAACTAGTGGACCTATCCCTTCTTTTTTACAGTATACTTCCTGAAACTTTTAATTAGTAATTAAAATATTTAGACTCCATTGCTTTTATATATGCCATTTTAGAAATGTCTCCACTTTCCTAAAAAGAGTACATTTCTAGAATTAAAAATACAAGGCTACACTAGCACTCTTTTTCTCAAGAAGCATCAGATTTGGGAGCTAGGGAATACTGTAATGCTCTAATTTTCATAGCTGTGAAAGAAAGTAAAGAGAAAATTCAATCTACTGCAGCACCATCTATTCCTGTATATGGAAATGAGACTCAGAAAGTAACTTGTCAAAGTCACTTAGTACAGTATGGCAAGCTTGGTAAATAATCTAAATGTTTTGGTCCCTGGTCTCCTTTATCCTTAGGCTGGGGAAGGAAGGTAAGAGGGCAACAACACTGAGTAACCTGTACTCCTGAGACTGATTGACACTAGACAGTCCTCTATGATAGTAATGCAGACCCAAACTTGATTTTATGCAACCTGTGAAAAAATAGTACAGCGGTTATTTTCCTAGGTATGATGCCAGATTTGACAGAGTTGTATTCCATATTCTTCCTTCCTTCTTTCCTTCCTTTAAAAAAAAAATTTTGTTGTTTGCTTTTGACATCTTTCTGAATGCTTCTCTTTCTCAATTCTGTGCCTGTTGGCATATGGTATTTTGGTGATATTTAAAATCCCCACTTTAATTTATGTTTTGTTCCTAATTTTCTTTTCTTTTTTAAATCCTCAACTGAGTATATGTTTTATTGATTTTTAGAGAGAGAGGAAGGGAAAGAGAGAAGGGAGGAAAAAGAGACAAAGGGAGAGGAAGAGAGAGACATTGATGTGAGAGAGAAACATCGATTGGTTCCCTCCCATACACATCCAGACCAGGCATTAGACCCAGAACCTTTTGGTTTATGGGATGATGCTCCAATGAACTGAGCTATCTGGCCAGTGCTGTTTTGTTCCTAATTTGTTCTCCCACTCATATTCCTATCAGATACATTGAGTGTTACAGATCTGGTTGGGAAGTAAGATGATTACTATGTGATGTCAGGCAATTAATAGTCAATTGTGCATTACTTAATTCATCATTTAAAATTCAGAATTAATTTCTAACTCAAGTAGCTGCCCAATTGGTTAGATTTTTAGAGATGTAATTTTGGGTTGTGTAGTCTCCTTTCTGTTTTTCACTCTTTAAGCAGTTTTAATGCAAGCCAGTAAAATGTAGACCCTATAAATATTCCCATATAAAAGCTGTACTCTCTGTCACTCTATTAATATCATGCTGTAATAATACATCATCACAAAAACATGCATTTCCAGTTTATCCTACTTCAATGAAGATAATAGGTTATTTTCATACACTAGTTTATGCAATGTGATTTGCTTTCTGTTCCTTTGCAACTCTCCTGTTCTTTCCCCGCTATCTTTTTCTTAATCAGAGATCATTGCAAGTAGCTTAGGTGAGGTCTAAGAAATAGTAGTAAGTTAAGGTTCTTGAACTGATTCCCCCTTAGCAGTGGCCCCTAACTGAGTCACTACCAAAGTCAGAAAACAAACAGTAGGTGAAAAAGCCCAGGGACATTTCCGGACTTTGCGAAGGTAATCTGGTTCCAATAAAATCTTATGTAAATCATATTGGCTAGGTGATTTTTATCTGTTTCATAATCTTAAAATATAATTTTCTTTTCTAACTCAATCTTGTCCTTAAAATGAATAACAGTGTGTGCAGTGGCAGTCAGGAATTGCTTAGAGTGTCAGCAGCATTCACAACTGAAAACAAGAGGAGATGCCACCAAAGGCCAGAAAACAGTGCACAGCCTGATCCCCATGGGGAAATCCACAGCAAAGGTGAGATACAGAATCATTAATTAAATAAAAAAGCACACTCTTATTTGCGATTAAGGTCTTAACTTTACTTGTTCATTTCAACATAAAGTTAAATAAATCTGACAGAGATCCTAAAATAGTTATTTTAGTCTGTGGATTTAACATTTAAATATTTGTGTTTAAATACACAGTAAAGATTTGCTTATACTTAATCTTGTCTGCTTTTCCAAATGTTTACTTTTCTTGTGTCTACAATACCTTTCCCCTTCAACTATGTCAATTTGTATTTCATGTACTTGTTGAGTTAGCATGCAGTTTGTTTTCTCCTTCCTGGCTTCCTTCTACACTGCTACTTCTAACCCAGCATCTAAAAACAGCAACAACAACAAAACCCCACAAAAAACACACAACAAAAACAGAGAGAATAAAAAGTATGAAAAACCAGTATTTGTAGCCCGATTTCTCTGTTTACTGGAATATTGTGTTTACTTTAAAAAATATGTTTAAAAAAAATTTTTTTTTGTCTTAGAGTCCAGTGGACATGGTAACTGGTGGTGTATCTCCAGTGAGAGATTTTGACAGACTCCTACAGGACATGGATATTAATCGGCTTAGGGCAGTTGTCTTCAGAGACATCGTAAGTAACAGTATTTCTTTCACGCACTCTCTTAGCTGATATGTATTTTCTCCAAGGCCCAAAGTATTGAGAATGAAAACTCTCTGTGATATAAAATAGCCAGGTGGAAAGTAGAAGTCAGTTTTTTTTTACAATAATCCTAGAATCATAGAATATTGGAAAATATTATTTATATAAATGGAACTAATATATCAGAACAATGACACTAAAAAGAATAGCATATTACTGTATAGTAAGCACTGTAAGTCTTCACATGCACTCATTAAGTCCAACAACTTTTTGAGTTGGGTACTGTTGTAAGTTCCATTTTATAAATGAGGAATCTGAGTACTCAAGCACAGAGCTTGAGTAACTTGTTCAAACTAATGGAGTTATTTAGTAAATGATAGGATTCAGACTCAGTAGTCTGAACTTCAGAATCTATGCTCTGAAAATAGTGAAATGCCTAAATCCTGAATGTCCTATTATTTTCTGAATATTGGATATTTTTCCCTCAAAGGAATATAAATTTGACATACTGGTAAACAATGAAATGTTGTGTGTGGTGTTTTTGATTTGTTAAAGATGAAAAAGTTTTGTTTTAACTGACTTTGATATAGTATATGGCCAAGCTGCATATAGAAATTGTACAGTCATATAAGAAAGTATAAATATGAAAATAAAAATCATTTGTAAGCCTACTCACAGGGATTTGGAGTCTTGTTATTAGTTAATATTTATTGAACAATTACTGTGTGTGAATACTAGATGCTCTCTATTACATGCTTTTTATAAACTTTATAACTTCAATTCTTCATCTTCTCCTCATTTGTTTTTTAGTCCTCTCCTGAGTTTTTCATTAAGTTTTCTACACATATGCAATTTGTTAATGGTATAGTGAATAATTATTGAACATTTACTGTGTATTAAGCATAGAACTAAATGCTCTTTGTATTTTCTCATTTAATAAACACAATAATCCTATGAGAAAGAGAGCAGTATTAGGTTAAATAACTGCCAAAGATCACACAAGTAGTAAAGGTGTAAATGGGTTAAGGACTAGGGAATCTAACCCACTTACACTAATTCTTAAAATTTTGATATTAATTATATGATTATGCTGCCTCCCTAAATCTAAATTAAATTTTTTTCTCTCTATTTTTATTTTTTGGTAGCTGCTGTTATTCCTTTAATCAAGAAACCAAGTTTTATTTTTTCAGAATCCATTGACTGGTTCATTTTGGGACCAAATATTGCTGCTTTCTTTCTTGAGCATGTGTCCATTATATTGCCCCATAATCTTATATGTCCTAGACTAATCTTTAAAAATCTAGAGTAGATGATATTAGCTCTGTTGCTGTAAAAATTCTCTAGTGTCTTTTCATAACACTTAAAATAAAAATTCCTCACCCTGGCTCTATATGATCGGGCTTTTTGGAATTTTTTAACAAGTTATTATATTATTATGTTTGGACAGAGAATTAGACTATTTCCTATGTCTATACTGTAAAAAGTTATAAATGATTTTAATTTTATTAATTATAAAAGTTATATAATCACCTGATAGGAGTTTATGAAAAGAGAAAAGTTTCTATTTCCCAAACCTTATCTCAGAGCCTCTTCTAGCCAAAGTGTACTTTGATGGAAAAAGAAATGATTTAAGATTGGGGATGTAAAGAAATTATTGTCCTGAGGTTAAGAACTAACGTATTTAGTCACTCTAATCTGAGTTTACTTTTGCTTTTTCACTTACTGTATGGCCTTAAGGTAAATTACTTAACTTCTCTAGTCCTTATCTTGTTCTAAGGGGTAAAGGAATGTATATGAATTATAGCACAGTGGCTGGCTCACAGTGAGTAGTCAATAAATAATAACTACAGTTTATTGCATGGGTTTAGTTAGTAAATAATAAACATATTAATGTGCTAAGTAAAGATGCAGATAGACTTAAATCAATTAGAAGAGATTAAGAAGTTAAGATTTAGTAAGATGTTTGTCTGCCTTTTAAATGTTGGTATCATTAACAGTCATTATTATAATAGACCAGAGGCCCGATGCACAAAATTTGTACAAGGGGGGAGGGGGGAGAGGTGTGTCCCTCAGCCTGGCCTGCACCCTCTCCAATCTGGGACCTCTCGAGGAATGTCTGACTGCTGGTTATCCACACAATCCGGGACTACTGGCTCCTAACCGCTTGCCTACCTCCTAGCCTGCTTGTCCCTTAACTGCTCCCCTGCTGCCCTGATTGACGCTTAACTACTCCTCTGCTGGCCTGATCGCCCACAATTGCCCTGCCCTGCCGTGACCTGCCTCCTCCAGTGAGACCTGCCTCCTCCACTCGAGGCAGCAGAAACGCCAGGCCCAGCCTTCTCCATGCTGCATGGAGCCATGCAACCCCAAACCTTGTTATGTGGAGCAGCCGCCAGGCCCTGCCTGTGCTGTGTGTGTAGCCATCTTGGGAAGCCATCTTGTGGCGGCCATCTTGTGGCGGAGTATAGATGACAGGATTGTGTGGCAGAGGAACACGGGAGTATCCTGAGAAAAGGGATGGTTAATATAAAAGGAAGAATGTTCATTTACCTTTCCCATCAAGAGTAATAAGTTCTTATAGTGTAGTAGAACCTAAAAAGTACCATAGATTCTTGTCAGATTACAAATATGTCGTACTGTATCAAGTGGATATCATTAGGTAAAGCCTGATCTCTCTCTCTTTTTTTTTTTAATTTATTGTGTCCAAAAGTTTTGACTCTAGTTATTAATTTTTAGTTAATTGGTACAATTTATTTGCATTTATTTTTCTGCTAGGCAACAATGTCCTTTGTTTTCCTTCTCCTAAATTTATCTGTTACTCACAATACCTTTTAAAAATATATTTTTATTGATTTTAGAGAAGAAGGGAGAGGAAGATAGAAACATCAATGACCCGAGAGAATCACTGATAGGCTGTCTCCTCCACAGACCCCTACTGGGGATCGGACCCCCCGAGCGCATGTCCTGACTGGGAATTGAACCATGACTTCCTGTTTCATAGGTCAAAGCTCAACTGCTGGGCCACGTCATCTGGGCTCAAAATAACTTTAATTTTCAGGATTTGATGGGAAAATTTTATTTTCTTTTTAATTAAGTTTAAACTTATTTTGAAATGTTATCAAATAGTGATGTTCTGAGGAGGCCATTGAAGATGGGGAATTTGGCCATATGAAGAGGCTATTGATGTAGAGATATGTAGGTGAACTCTAGAGTTTAGTTAGGATGAAGCCTAGACCTCTTTTTGAGGTCAATCCAATTTTTCCTTTTCTTTTCTGCAGACACTATGTTTTCAATTCTGATATTTGGTTTTCTATACTAAAGTAGTCTTAAGAATTCCTTTTTATATATCTGATACTCTTACTTTTTTTCTTTTTAATGTTTTGTCTTTTAGGAAAACTTATTTTCTATTTTATGTATTTTCATTCTTATGATTAGAAATAAAAAGTTATTCATGCATAATGATAATTACTATTTGATTAATTGTAGAAAGTATATTGAGACATATGTCTTCAGATTCAGTAACTTAATTTAAAAATAAAAGAGCCAACTTTTCTCTTTTCATGTTTCATAAGCATACAACCTCTCATTTATGGACATTTTCCCAAAAGACTGATTTTTGCTAAGTTAGATTATTTTCTGCATATGTCAAAAGATTTATTTACATGTTTATATTTAAATATTATCATGTATAATAAAATGAAGACACGTTATATAATAGTGGCATGATCACCTACTTTTATTTTTCCCCAGGAGGATAGCAAACAAGCTCAATTTTTAGCCTTGGCTGTTGTATACTTTATCTCTGTTCTTATGGTCTCAAAATACCGAGACATTTTGGAACCTCAGAATGAAAAGCATAGCCAGTCATTTAAGGGAACTGTTAGTGAAACTGGGACTTTATCACTTCCTGGTAAGTTTCCATATTTTATTTCCTGTTATCCAAAGTTCAAATAAAATGTTACCTACTTACTTATAGTAGTTAAAATATTGATTCTAGAATTTAAATCCATTTATGTAGAAAGTAAAAGCATGTACTTTTTTTGTTTGTTAATCCTCCCTGAGGATATTTTTTCCATTGATTTTTAGAGAAGAAGGGAGGTCGATAAAGAGATGGAGGCAGGGATGGAAGGAGAGAGAGAGGAGAGACATATCTATTGGTTGCTTCCTGCATGTGCCTTGACTGGAGCCAGGGATCAAATCTGCAACCAAGTATGTGCTCTTGACTGGGAATTGAACCCCCTCTGGTGAGTAGGCTGGTGCTCTAATCTCTTAGCCACACCAGCCAGGGGTTATTTTTATTAATCACTAAACATTTTACTTTATTTTGAGTACTATGAAGTTAGTTGTAATTAAGAGATTATTTCTGTTCTTTAAATGAGTCATTTGATTAAAAGGTGAAAAGATGTTATCCTTTGCAAATAAAGTATTAGACATTTTTGTTCCTATAAGCATTTGTTGTGAAGAATAAATAACTCATTCTCTTATCAGAGACAGATTTGGTAACTGTAATAATTGGAGTTATAGAAGTAGCTGCCAGCTGTGTTTAGAGAAGCAATTATTGCAATAATAGGAATAGCTGCCCCCAATGAAGGCTCTTTATTTACTCAATAAATATTCATTTGGTACTTACTAGGTACTTGGGTATGTTCATGAACAAAAGAGGAAAAAAAGTCTTCCCTTATGGAGTTTACCTTCTAGTGAGAGGAGATAGAAAATAAGTACATGTAGTAAGTACATTCTGTAGTATTTTAGAAGATGATATGTCTAAGAAAAGAAAATAGGACTAATGAAAAAATATCAGGAATATATCCAGGAGAAATGGGCTATGGATATTTACTCGAAGGATGATGGGAAATTATTGGAGGGTTTTGAATATAGGAGTTAAAATTGACTTAATATTTTTAAAAGTCACATGTCAGGATTTGGTGTTGAGAGTATACCTTGGAGGGCAAAGAAAACCCAGTGTGTTAGTTATTTACTGCTCTGTGATACATTACATTGAAGCTTAGTGGCAAAACCACAATTTTTTTTTTTGCTTTGTTCTATTTATTTATGCATTCATTGGTTAATTCTTTTTAAAAGTATATATTTCTTTTATTGATTTCAGAGAGGAAGGGAGAGGGAGAGAGATAGAAATGTCAACGATGAGAGAGAATTATTTATTGGCTGCCTCCTGCACACTTCTCACTGGGGATCTACCCCACAACTTGGGCATGTGCTCTTCTTGGCCAGAATTGAACCTGGGACCCTTCAGTCCGCAGGCCAACACTCTATCCACTGAGCCAATTGGTTAATTGGTTAATTCTTGTATGTGCCCTGGTTCATTCTTGTATGTGCCCTGACTGGGGGTCAAACACGTGACCCTGGCATATCAGGACGATGCTGTAACCAACTGAGCTACCTAGTCAGGGCTGAACCACAACTCTTTAGTCTTGTGTCATGATTCTGTGAATTGTGTTTGGACAGGATACAATGGGAACACAGCTGATATTTGATGGGGTTGGAAAGTCTGAGATAGCTTTTTCTGCTCATTAATCTAGTGCCTGAGTGAGGACGGCTGCAAGAGCTGAGACTGATGGACTGAAATGACTCACCTGGGGATATGTCTAGGGCCTTGATACTTGTTCTCAGCCACATTTCTCGATTTCCCTCCATTAATTGGAGGGCCTCTATCTCTTCTGATGATTACTCCCTCTGTTTTCTCCAGCAAGGTAGCTAGATTGCTCACTGAGATATCCAGGAACTCTTAGAATGTACCCTCTGCCCAACCTTATTAGAACTTGTCTATTGCTACTTCTGCCTCAGTCTGTTGCTTAGATAAGTCTGGCCCAGCCCAGATTCAAGGACTTCTCAAAGGGAGGCATGAGCCAAGAGGACCATTAATATAACTATAACATAACCAGTTATGAGCGTGTTGCAGTTTTCCAGGCAAGAGGTGGTTTAGGGACAAGCTAGGGCAGTGGCTATAGAGCTAGTGAGTAGTAGTCATATTTTGATGGTAGAGAAAACAGGATGTTAAAATATTAGGTGTGGCTATGGGAAAGATAGTCAAGAATTATTATAAGGTACAGATGGATAGATTAGAGGTGAAACATGTTGAGGGGAAGATAAATTCAGTTTTCCCCTTGGTGGCTTTTAGACATAGAAGATATAGAGTAGGCAGTTATAAGTAACTAGAGGCCTGGTGCACGAAATTCATGCACAGGAGCGGGGTGTCACTCAACCCAGTCTGCACCCTCTCCAATCTGGGATCCCTTGGGGGATGTCCCAAAAGGATTGGGGCTACACTGATCACCCCCAACTATCCTCCCCTGCCGGCCTGTTCGCCCCCAACTGCCCTCCCCTGCTGGCCAGATTGCCCTCAACTGCCCTCCCCTGCCGGCCATCTTGTAGTGGCCATCTTGTGACGACATTGTGCGACACCATCTAGGCTTTTATTATATAGGATAGTCTGAGGTGGGTTTTTTTTTTTTTTTTTTTTTTAATATTTAAAACTTTGAGGGTGAATGAAACCATTAAGGAAATAACTGTTGAGAGAGAAGAGGACAAAGGAATGAGTACTAAGTCCCTCCAACTTAAGAAATCAGATAGAAGAAGTGAAAGAAATTAAGGAACAACCAATGTAAGCCAAGTGAAAGAGTATTGTCAAATTGGAGGGAATAATCAGTTGCTGCTACTTTGCCAAGTGCTATTAGGACTGAGAACTGACCAGTTAGCAGGATGGAGGTTTTTTGGCAACCATTAGCAAGATGCATCATTTTGTTGGATTGGAGTGAGCACCTGATTGGAAGGAACAAAAGTCAGAGGGAAAGGTTGATGCTCCTTGTTGAACTAGATTTTGAGGATCATGGAATTGTTCATGCATAGAGGAGGAGTAACAAGTTTTCTATCCCATGTTTGAGATAGAGGTGAGGTCTTGGGGTTTCTCTTCAAAGAAATGGCAATGTATAAGGGCATGGAAGCTCCAAGTTTTGTCCCAGGTTCAGCAGATTGCAGGTAATGTGGTGTTGTAAAGTATAATATGTGAAGGCATGAGTAGCAGGAGATAAAGTTGGAAATGAATAGTCATCTGATGAATATTTATTGACAACCTACTGCCTTCCAGGCATTATGTAGCCCCAGGCATTATTAGAGGTGCTGGAGAGAAAGTGTTAGAGAAGGCAAATTCCCTGCCCTGATGAAGTTTACTTTGTAGTGGACTTATAGTATCAAAGAGCCTTGTTCCTTATCCTATGGAGTTTGGACTTTTCTTGTAAGCCAATGGCTTTCAACCTTGCATTGCTCTCCATTGTATGTCATGATCAGTTTGGAGGGTTTTCTCGGGTATTTTTTTATTGTTTTTATTATTTTTTATATCATCTAATTTTATTATTGATACAGTAACTCAGAACATTTTATAAATTATATAATTTATTTTTGCCATTTAGAACATGCCATACATTTCTTAATTTAAAATAATATTAGGTCTAGTAATAATTAATGTCGTTTTCTAATACTTTTTAAAATCGAATTTATTTAAACAATACAACAAAATTTAATCAACAATATAGTTGCCGTTGTTTTCTACTACTTGTGCCCAACGCTCAGGAAGCATTTTAATCCCTCTGTTGTAAAATTCTTGTGATTTTGATGCAAAAAATTCGGTCAATGCATTTTTGAGGCATTCTTCATTATTAAATTTTTTTCCAAGAAGAAAGTTTTGCAAAGAACGAAACAAATGGTAATCGGAAGGGGCAATATCAGGAGAATATGCAGGTTGAGGGAGAACTTCCCATTCCAACTGGCGCAGTTTTTCAGCAGTGATTCTTGCAGTATGCAGTCGTGCGTTATCATGGTGAAGAATTACGCCCTTCCGATTAATCAGCGCGGGTTCTTTTTCTCTTAAAGCTTGGGTTAACCTTTCCAATTGGGCACTATACACTGCACTTGTAATGGTTTGGGTAGATGGTAAAAGTTCATAATGAAGAATTCCTTTAAAATTCCACCAAACACACAACATCACTTTTTTCGCATGCAAGTCAGGTTTTGGCATGGGCTACGGAGCCTCATTTTTGTCCAACCATTGAGGCCGCCTTTTCAAATTAACATACAGCACCCATTCTTCATCTCCAGTAACAATTTGCTCTAAAACGGCAAACGGTTTTGATGAGAGAGGAGCGAACTGCAAATTGTGACTCTTTTTGATTACGGTTGTTGTCGGTCAACTCATGAGGGACCCATTTTCCAAACTTTTGGACTTTGCCAAGTGCACGCAATTGATTGGAAATTGTTTTTTTGTGAACAATTTAAAGTTGTCGCAAGCTCTTGTTGGGTAATTTGAGGATTTTGCACCAAAAGAGCTTGAAGAGCTTCTTGATCAAAATTGGACACACGGCCTCCACCACTCTTGTCATCTAACGAAAAATTTCCCTCGCAAAATTTCTCAAACCAACGCTGGCATTTTCTGGCGCTAACTGCATCTTGACCAAGAGCACTACAGATGTTTTTTGCAGCCTCACTTGCTTTTCTTCCTAATTGGAACTCGTAAAGCATGCAGTGCCGAATATGCTCTTCATCCGCCATCTTCTTAGCCCTAGTTTTGCAACAAAAACCAAACCAAACACAAACTTTTTCAAGCAAAACTTGTTAATTGCACTTCACACGTTCTGTAGATACCACGTGTTTGAAGGTTATGTCAATACAAGTCAACGCCAAGCAAGATTTTAAACGAAAGTTTAAAAACGACATTAATTATTACTAGACCCGATAGATGGCTACAGAATAAAATATACCTTTTTAAAATTGGTTCTAAAATTTTTTTTATTTGTACTTTTCTTCTGTTTCTGGGTAAGATCTAGAAAACACACCAGCAGCATCCAGCCCATTAACTCCAGTATCAGTGGAAGAATCCAAAAGCATATCATCTGCTCGAAGGAGGGATTCAGGCATTGGGGAGGAAACAGCCGCTGGCTTGGGAAGCACTGTGGATGCAGCTTCTCCTGGAGCCCCTCCAAGTGTCAGTGCAGGCCCAGACGCAATCAGTGAGGTGCTGTGCACTCTTTCGTTAGAAGTCAATAAATCTCAGGACCACAAAAATGATGCAGGAAATGAGATGGACAACAAGGCTGCACCATCGCTTCCAGTTTCAAAAAATGTCAATGTGAAGGACATTCTCCGCAGCTTGGTTAACATACCAGCAGATGGAGTCCCAGTGGATCCTGCCCTTCTGCCACCACCCTGCCTCGGTGCTCTTGGTGATCTGTCTGTTGAACCACCTGTGCAGTTCAGGTCTTTTGACAGGTACTGTAACTAATTTCTGGTTTTTGTATACTTATATTTATAAATTGCTAGGATTTAAAGGTTTATAGGAATTTATGCAAATTTTTAGCTTAAACATTAAAAACAGTTGTTTTGAACTAGTTTTTAAAATTACAAGTATATTTTTGTTGTGTGGTTTGTATACCATTTCAAGTTTTTATCAAAACTATCAGTGATTTAAAAATAATTTCAATATGACATTGTTAAGTTATATGTTAAATAAATTTTTTTAACTCAAAGTTATTTTTTCCATTGATTTTCTTTTTTATTACATATTTTTTATTGATTTCAGAGAAGAAGGGAGAGGGAGAGAGAGAAAGAAACATCAATGATGAGAGAGAATCATTGATAGCCTGCCTCCTGCACACCCCGCCCTAAGAACAGAGCTTGCAACCCAGGCCCTGATCAGGAATTGAACTGTTACCTCCTGGTTCATAGGTCAACGGTGCTCAACTACTGAGCCGCTCTGGCTGGGCTCCATTGATTTTTAGAGAGAGTGGAAGGGGAAGGAGGGAGGAGGAGGAGAGAAAAAGAGAAAAACATGTATGTGAGAGAGACATATTGATGGGTTGCCATCTGCACGAGCCCCAACGGGGCCTGAGTATTGAACCTGCAACCCAGGTACCTGACTGTAACTGGGAATCAACCCCTTGACTCTTTGGTGGATAGATACTATTTTTATATGTGAAGAAACTGAGGCAAAGGGAAATTGAGTCTCTTAAGTGCTTATGCTAATAAAAGGTGGAGCTAAGATTTGAATCATTTGGCTATGCAATGCAAAACGTACTTGCTGATCTATGAGGGATTGGTGGTGGTTTTATTTTCTGTATACAGTAAAAACTAGGAATCCATTAAAGAGAGGAAAGCAGAACACTATTTATGTAAAATTATATTGAAGATATGTTAATGAAAAAAGCATTGTACAAAATTTGAAATTTATGATCTTTTATGCAAATACATAAATACGATTACATATGCCTCAAAAAGACCACATCAAACTGTTAAAAACAATGGCTATATTTCGATGGTTGGAAAAGCTGTAAATGATCAGGTTTCTAAGTATTCTCAATTTTATAATTTGTTTAAGCTCAGAAATGATTAAGAGTAGATTTTAAAATTTGATAAATCTTATTAATATAATTAAAGTTTTCTTATAAATGTTCCAAATTTCGTTTACTTTGACATGTATTTCTTTTTAAATAGTGTAGAAATTAAGCTATGCTTTAGTGACTCCTTCATTGAGTAGGTTATGGACATATTTAGGGAACCAACCATACTTCGGTAATACATATTAAGGGGTTTGTTGAAACAAAGAGGGATTTTGGTGATAGCATTTTTCAGGATGTTATTTGGAACTTACATGTCTGGTATGCATTTAACATATTGTCTGATGGCAAGCCAACTGCTCTGCGTTTCCCCTTCTTTTTCTTAGCAAGAGACACCTCTTGAAAACTCTTTTCATGACCAGTGGAATATCTTTGGGAATTTCAAAGCATCCCTCTGATCATGTGTTTATCTCTGGAATGCTGTGTCAGAAATCACAACTCTCCTCATATCTTAAGAATTATCAACTCTCAAGCAATAGCTGGAAAATTTAGAGTAACAGCTCCATGAGTGGAACCTTGCTGAAAGGCTGCCAGGCTGTGGGCCTTTTTGGATGGCAAGGTGTTTGTGTTCATTCCCATGCCAAAATTCTTGCTCTTATCTAATTTGAAGATCCTCTCTGGTGATTAGTGGATGCCAGGGATTTATCTTGATAAAGTTCAAGGGCTTGTCTGGCTTTTCAACTAGATCCTTAGGGACTAAAGTACTTGGTTTAAAATGCTCTTTTCTCCTTTACTGAACTATTTGCATGTTAAATAAAATAGCATTTATGAGAAAGTTTATGATATTTGAAACTGATGTGAATCTGAAATGGAACTTCTGAACCTTAGTGATTTGGAAGAGACTGGTGCTTCTTGTCTGTTGTTAATAAGTATAAAGAAACTTGCAAAAAGTCTCCCTAGTAGATGTAAAAGAAAAATTTGACAGTGTTTGGGATTTCCTTTTGTGTGGAACCTTAGGAAAATTACTTCTTTTTCATCTTTAAGATGGGGATAAAATGTGGCACTTAACTCAGAGTGGTTGAATATATATATACACACACACACACACATACACACACACACACACACACACATAATTTATATATGTCCTTAGCATAGCCAAGTATTACTCATTAAAGTTAGTGAGTTTGTAAAGAAGAAAGCTATAGTATGTAAAATTTTATAGTTTAATAGTTGGCTTTTAATTGAAAGTTCAGAACAACTTGCATAACTAAAAGACATGTCTGTCTTCCAAATTGATTTGCCAAAGAGTTTGAAGTGCTTTTTGTTAAAATTGATGGCACATATTTAAAATTCAGAATTATTTGTATTTTAAATTGTTTCTTAAATAGAAACTTAAGCTGTAACTTGAGAATGATGGTAGAAATATCTCTGCACATTGTGTTAGCATATAGGCTCTCAAAGTTGTGTCAGATATATATTGCATTTTCTTTGTGTTTTGCAAAGTGGTGTTTAAAAAAAAGTGAAATAATTTGTTCTTGCATGATTAAACTTGTGTAGTAATACATTTAAGTTTATAGATTATTTTTTTAAACTGTAAGAACTTGTTTTACAAGTTTAGATTTGTACTTATGTGATACATATGATAGCTTAAAATCTTATCTGTTGAAAGTTTTAGTCTTTTTCATGGAAACTTTATAAAAATGAAAGTAGATGGTAAAGAGAATGAAAATATTGTGAAATCTGCCTACTGCTTAATGTCCTTTTATTTGAGTTCTTATGACTTTGAATTTTCTTTTTTTAAAATATATTTTTATTGATTTTTTTACAGCAAGGAAGAGAGAGGGATAGAGAGTTAGAAACATTGATGAGAGAGAAACACTGATCAGCTGCCTCCTGCACACCCTCCACTGGGGATGTGCCCGCAACCAAGGTACTTGCCTATGACCAGAATCAAACCCAGGACCTTTCAGTCCGCAGGCTGACACTCTATCCACTGAGCCAAACCGGTTTTGGCAATTTTTTTTTTAGTGGCCCAAAGCTGAAGCATTATTATGTTACTTCCTCAGAAGTGACTCGAATCAGTCAGTGAATTTGGAAATTGATTAACTTTATTTTTCTATTATGTATGAAGTACATAGCTGGGGTAGAGAATGTAACTCTCTTCATTTGTGAGCAAATATATTTTTTCATGTTAGAAGTACATACATAGTTTTATATTTTGTAAAACTTTATTATTATTGCTTATAAATGATTATAATGTAGAACTATGTTTAAATGTTAATATTGTGGAATGGTTGCACAACTCTGAACATACTAAAAACAATTTGTTTGTACACTTTAAATTAGTGAATTGTGTGGTGTGTACGTTATAGCTCAGTAACACTAAAATTGGTCAATATGAGGAAACAGTTGAAATTAGAGGTTTTTGTTTAGACCAACTGTGAATTGTAGATCATTTCTGCCATTTAATTTGGTATGTTATTTTACCTTTCTGAGCTTTACTTTTTAATTTTTAAAAGGGAGTAATATATATGTTAGGCTTGTTTTGAGAATTGAGTAATAATTCTTGGCATATGTCAGTGCTTAATCATAACTATTAATAATTTATAAGTTTATATTATACTAGAGCCCCAGTGCATGAAATTCATGCATTGAGGGGGGTTGTTGTCCCTCACCCCAGTCTGCATCCTCTCCAATCTGGGACCCTTTGAGGGATATCCGACTGCCCGTTTAGGCCTGATACTACTTGGACATCCCTCTCACAATCTAGAACTGCTGGCTCCCAACTGCTAGCTTGCTTGCCTTCCTGATTGCCCCTAACCATTTCTGCCTGCCAGCCTGATCACCCTCTATCCCCTCCCATGCCAGTCTGATTGATGTCCATCTGCTTCCCTGCCAGCCTGTTTGCCCCTAACTGCCCTCCCCTGAAAGCCTGTTCTCCTCCAACTGCTCTCCTCTGCAAGGTCTAGGCCCCCCCAACTGCCCTTCCCTGCAGGCTTGATCACCCCCAACTGTCCTCCCTTGCAACTCTGGTCTCTCCCAACTGCCCTCCACTGATGGCCATCTTGTGTCCACATGGGGGAAGCCATCTTTGACCACATGGAGACAGCCATCTTGTGTGTTGTAGTGACAGCCAATTTGCATATTACTCTTTTATTAGATATGAGAGGCCTGGTGCATGCGTGGGGGCCAGATGCTTTGCCCTGAAAGGTGTCCTGGATCAGGGTAGGGGTTCCCTTTGGGTGTGGGACAGCCTGGGAAAGGGCCTGTGGTGATTTGCAGGCCGGCTGAGCCTCCCCCCCCCACCTCCCCCTTCCCAGCAACCCAAGTGGAGGCCCTGGTATCTGGGATTTATTTATCTTTTATAATTGAAACTTTGTAGCCTTGAGCTGAGGTGTGGGTTGGCCACAGTGTGCAGGAAGCTTGGCTTCCTCAATTGCGGGGGAAACCCACGCCTCCTGTTTACTCTGTGGACACAGCCAGCTTCGTTGGGTTAATTTGCATACTCACTCCCGATTGGCTGGTGGGTATGGTTTGTGGGTATAGTAGAGGTATGCTCAATTTGCATATTACTCTTTTATTAGATAGGATAGAGTGATTGTGTGGGGGCACAAAGAATAGTGTACCATGAACTTTGACTTGGAGAGGCTGGGGAGGCTTGTCTTTGAGCAAGATTTTGAAAGGTGAGAAGGAAGCTTGCTGATAAGTAGGACTAAGAGGAAGGCATATTGGTAGAGGAATAGCATATTCAAAGGGTGGGCATTGTGAAGTAATGCACATGCTTAGGAACCACAACACCATAATGCAAAAGCATGTGAGGAATGCTGGCTTAAATGTCAGTCCGTGTATGAAGCCACACTTCAGATGTGTCAGGAATGAGAACATATGGAAGATCTTGCACAATCAGTATTTACTGAATAGGTATTATTTGTGATTGTAAATACTAATAATATTAGTAGTTTCAAGGATTGGAGATGAGGTCAAATTTTTTTGTTACCTTTATTTACATTTTTATCATAATTTTATTTTTAAATATATTTTTTTAAAGTTTCATTGAATTTATTGCACTAATCTCTTTTTTTAAATTTTTTTTTATTTATTAAATTACTATCTGTGTACATATTTTAACATTGCCCCCCCCATACTCTCCCTCCCCAGAGTTTTGTGTCCATTAGTTGTACTTATATGCATGTATACAAGTCCTTCGGTTGATCTCTTATCTCCCCCAGATCTCCCTACTCTCCCTGGTGTAATTTTACAGTCTGCTTGTTGCTTTACTGTCTTTATATCTATCTTTTGGTTTGTCAGTTTATAATGTTTTTTAATGTCCATAAATGAGTGAGGCCATGTGGTATTTCTCTTTTATTGACTGGCTTATTTCACTCAGCATAATGTTCTCTAGTTCTATCCAGGTTGCTGCAAATGATGAGAATTCCTTCTTTTTTATGGCAGCATAGTATTCCATTGTGTAGATGTACCATAGTTTTTGGATCCAATCATCTGCTGATGGGCACCTAGGCTGTTTCCAGATTCTAGCTATTGTAGATTGTGCTGCTATGAACATAGGGGTGCATATATCCTTTCTGATTGGTGTTTTTAGTTTCTTGGGATATATTCCTAGGAGTGGGATTACTGGGTCAAATGGGAGTTCCATTTGCACTAATCTCTTGTTTTTTTAACCATAGCATCTTGGACAAATAGAGATTGTGCATATATGGAACATGTATAGTACTTTTTTTTCTTCATCAGCTTTCCAACATTTCAATATAAAAATGTTCAATCATATAAAAAAACTGAAAGAATTGTACAGTAAATACCCACAGACCCATCACTGAGATTCTGTAATTAGCTTTTAACGTCATTTGCTTCATCATATAATTCTCCATATAGCCAACCTTCTACTCATCAGTTAATCATATTTTTTTATGCATTTCAAAGTAAGTTGCAGACATCAGTTTGCCCTCAATCAAGCATTTTAACATTCAGATCTCTATCTAGAGATCAACACAGTTTTTTAAGGTAAAATGTGCATACATTGAAAGGCAAAAATTTTAAGTGTACTACCATTTGATGAGGTTTATACTCTTTTGTTAACTCAACTCCCCAATCTAGGTGAGTCTTGGAAGCTCCCTTTTGCATCTTTCCTGCCAGTGCTTGTCCCCATTCCTCCAAGGCAGTTATTATTGTGTGTGTTTTTCTGCCATAGATTATTTCTGACTTTTCTGGAACTTCGTGTAAAAGGAAATACAAACAAAGTTGGCATTCTTCAGTTTAAGGCTTTCTTCACTTAACGATTTTGAGGTTTACCCATGCTATGTTTATCATCAGTTTCTTATTGCTGAGTATTGTTCCATTGCATGAGCATACCACCATATTTTTATGCATTTTTTCCTGTTTGAAGGACTCTGAGCTATTGAATTTTTTGGTTGTTAACAATAAAGCCTCTTTGAACATTTTGTGCATATTTTTTGTGGACATAAGTTATCTTGAGGAAGTCCCTAAGGGGAATTGCTGGTTACACATAGGGTAGGTTTATGTCTTAAATTCAATTACATAAAAAATTATGTCACTTTTATAAATATTTCCTATTGCTCCTATCATTTCTTACCTGTTGTATGAGTAAACTAGATATTGCTGGTTTTTTGTTTTGTGAGCGAATGTGAAAGTAAATTTGTCCATATTTCTCCTCTTCTCCTCCCCCAAAAATAGGTTGCTAGGGAATAGGTTAGAGGTTTTCTTAAACAATACATTTCTGCTTAGAGTAGCAAACGTGCAAATTAGATTTTGTATTGTTTTCTGAATTTACACCAGCACACGTACACACACATGCGCACATACACACCAGGGTCATGTTTACTCCCCCTAAAGTCAATAATCTTCATCTGATATAAGCTACCATGATTTAAGCACACCATTTTGGATTGAGGGCTCAGGTGGCTGTTGCTTCTATTTTTTAGTGTATAGTTAACATTGGCAGTCACCCTTATAATGATGTGACACCAGCTACCTCCAAGTACACTGAATAAGCCATGCCTAGCACCACAGAACTTGATTTAATTGGCAACAGTGTTTGCTGTCACATGATAGGCACTGAAGTAAAACGAAACCTATTTCACTTTATATTATCTCTTTTTGATATAACCACAAAAACAAAATGTGCTTTTAAAGTACTGGAATTAGAAATTACCACTTTTGAATTTATTGGGAAGAAGTATCTAAATAACTTTATTTAGAAACTGAATACTTTAAAGCTGTTAAGGGAATACTTGAAGCTTGCAATATTGTCAACAAAAGATGTGATTAAATAAATTGAATGTTGAAGACTTTAGGCTTATGGTTAACACCAGGTAATTAAAAGTAAGCACTGCTGTGGGAGTGCATTATATATCAGCTGTCCTCTTTACCTCATTAACTGGGTTTTTGCATGTTTATGGAGCTAACTTCAATTAAAAATGCCTTTTAAGTTATGCTTAATAGGGCCTTTTAGTTATTATTTTGGTATAAAGTATTACACTTTAATTGAAATTTGTATATCATAAATACCTGTGTTTGAATACTATACAAGGTGAACAAATTTTATTATTTGATATTAATGCATCTAGCATTTATATCTTTTATTGTCTATTATCTAAAGACAGTCTTGAGTTTAAAAATTGGGTTATATAGATGATAGATATATTTTTATCTGCATTTTTTAACCTTATAAAATTTTAAGTTTTTATGATTTCAGAAGTACCTACTGATGCTTTAAGATCCTTGTTGAAGCACGTTTGAGCGTTCTGCTTCAATTCTAAGGTTAAGAAAAAGTTAATTACTTTTCCACTTGAGTGCTAAAAGTCCTTTTTTATCCATCTTTTGTTATATTTTTATTTAAGTTAGATAATCAAAGATGATCCTAAATGTAAAGAATGTTATATAGTAAATATAAGTTTAAATGTTAAAATGAATTATATTTTCATAGAATATTGTCCTGATTCTAAAAAAATTGATATGCAATAAATGTGAACACGATTAAAGAGGTTTCTTATTGAAAGAGTATTCAATAAATTGTATGTCAAAATAGAGATAGAGAAAAAATTAGAAAAAGCAATTTTCTATTTCAAATTTATGTGATTAATGTAGGTTAATCTTCTGTATTTTAAAATCTATTTCCTTTTTTATTACAGAAGTGTCATCATTGCAACAAAAAAATCAGTCTTACCTTCCACTCTTACTACAAATGTAACCACCAATTCTGTCAGTGTGGTTTCTTCAGTAGATTCTGCCCAAGCCCCAGATGTGGGAGGAGAATCTCCTGGTGAGTTTATCAGTGATTTCAACAAAAAAGGTTTTAGTTCCCATTTTAGCGAAGCTTAGGATTTTTGATAAAGTTAAGAAATTTTGTTAGGCATTTTATAAATCACCATGCTTTTATACTGTTGCTCATTTAATAAATTTCTGAATATATTTGAGTAATAGCAAATGAGTTAAATCAATGATTTCAGTATTTTCTCCACAATGTATAACAAATTGGATGCTGCTGCTTTAAAATACTCTTTTCTGTCTCCTGCACTTTAGAAGATTTGTTCAGATAGTGGTTTATATACGAAAGTTTTGGTGACGTGGTCTTTTAATTTGGTTATCAGCTATCAAATGTTTACTTTTTTCTTCAATATTTTTCTGAACTAGAGACTTGGAATGCTTGCCTGAAGCATAGCATCATTCTAGAATTAGTTACAGTAGCTTAATAACTCCTACTGCACTTACTACTTTTAATTTTTTAAAATATATTTTTATTGATTTCAGAAAGGAAAAAAGAGGGAGGGAGGGAGGGAGGGAGGGAGGGAGGGAGGGAGGGAGAGAGGGAGAGAGAGAGAGAGAGAGAGAGAGAGAGAGAGAGAATGAATATATCATTGATCGGCTGCCTCTTGCATACGCTTTACTGAGGATCCAGCCTGAAACCCCTGCATTTGCCCTTAACCGAAATTGAGCCGCAGAACCTTCAGTCTGCAGGCCAATGCTCTTTCCACTGAGCCAAATTGGCTAGGGCCTATTGCAGTTTTTTAAAAAAAATTAAAATTAGTTGGTGACATTAGTTGTTAAAATTTAATTATACAGTTCTATGATACAACATCTATATATTGCATTGTGTGCTTACCACCCAAATTGGATTTTTGCCCATCTCTTTTTCTACATTTCTACCAAGTGTAAAAGCCTTTTGGTGCATATATATGGTGGGTAAGATCTTAAATCCCTAGATGTTGACTGGAAGTTTAGTGATAATACCAGGTAAACTTGAAAACAATGTGATACTAGTATGTTAAGTCAAAGATAATATTATTTTATATAATTAATAGTATTCTAAATGTGCTGTTTCATAAAATAGAAAATTAAGCAGTGACTGGGTAACTCAGTTGGTTAGAGCCGTGGTCAGCAAACTGCGGCTTGTAAACCACATGCGGCTCTTTAGCCCCTTGAGTGCGGCTCTTCCACAAAATACCATGGCCTGGGCGAGTCTGTTTTGAAGACATGGCGTTAGAAGAAGTTTAAGTTTAAAAAATTTGGCTCTCAAAAGAAATTTCAATTGTACTGTTGATATTTGGCTCTGTTGACTACTGAGTTTGCTGACCACTGACTTAGAGCATTGTCCCAGTACACCAAGGTTGCCAGTTTCATCCCCAGTCAGGGCACATACAAGAATCAACCAATGAATGCATTGGTAGACCAACAAATTAGTGTTTCTCTCTCTTTTAAAAATCAATCAATAAAAAAAAATAAAAAAAATTTAACAATTAGATTATGTACCATTAAAAGAATTCATTATTGGCTCTTAGAATGAGATTAATGAAAAATAAATCTTGAAGGAATAACTAGATGGATTACATTGAAATCACACAAAAAGTATTTTTAGTTCAACTTTTTGGACATCTCAAACCTCGTATCTGCTGTTTTACCTGTTCTAAAAAAATAGTATGTTTGCTGTATAAATAGATTCCTATTTAATAAAAACGTAATATACAAATCAACCGAACAGCAGAATGACCGTTTGCTATGATGTGCACTGACCACCAGGGGAAAACGCTCAACGTAGGAGCTTCCCCCTCTTGGTCAGATGCCAGGCTCATAGATGGCAAGCACAGCAGGGATGGTGGGAACAGGCAGGTGGTAAGGAGTGAGTGGTCCTAGACCACGAGAGGGATGTCTGACTGCTTCTCAGGCCCCATCCCCGTGGCATCCCCCAAGGGGTCCTGGACTGGGTGAGGGTGCAGGCTGAGCTGAGGCCCTTCTCCCGCCCCCCCCCCCCCAAATGCACGAATCTTGTGTACCAGGCCTCTAGTATTTGATAAAATAGTGTATCTCAGAGAGGTTTTTTTGTATATTTATATTTTTAATTGATTACAGAGAGGAAGGGAGAGGGAGAGAGAGATAGGTATACCTTTGTATATGCATGATGTTTTTTGTTTTTATTTTTATATGCATAATTTGAAGAAAACTAAAACAGAAAACAGTTTCAGTACATATACCAAAATCTGGATATTTTAAAGTTACTCATCAGCAAAGTTTTAATTTCCCAGAATGCAATATATATGAAGATGCTGTTACTCTTTTTTTTCAAATATGCCATGATGGTTTTCTACCATGATGCAAAGCATCAATGATTAAAAGAAATATCACATGATGTCACTCATATGTGGATATAATGATCAATATAATTTGATGAACAAGCATAGATCCAGAGACAAATGGCAGGGGAGGTGGGGGGGCAGGGAGTTACAGAGCAACAAAAAAACTTGTATGCATTCGTATTAGCATAATCAATGGACACAGACACTGAGGCAGTGGAAGTTTGCCTGGGTGGTAATGGCTGGGGGAAGGGGAGCAGTCAATCAGGGAAAAAGGAGACATATGTAAAACTTTAGATAATAAACAAAAAAATATTATCCAGCAAAAAAATTTATATATATATTTGTATTCCAGAGTAAAGGCAGTCAGTATTTACAGTTGCAAGCTATACAGAAACATAAGAGGCCCATGGAGAATTGTTTAATAAATATCTTCTTATAAACAGATAAAGTGGAATGATCTCCCCATTTGTTATTTGCTAACAAATATAGCAGACACTTGAATTAGTGGGTGGAAAAAAAAAAAAAGTAGCAAAAACAAAAGAAAAGTAAAGCTAACCTAATAAAGGAACTAAATAGACTGTTCTTTAGTAATTTAAATGCTGGGTTTTTGCTAATTTGAAAAATTTAATAATTATACTACTTGTATATTAGGGCATGCATATATTAATTAGTACATTTACATTTAATGTTGAAAGAACATATTTGATTCCTTGTCTTATAGAAGACTTGACCTTTGAGGCTTATCTACTCATTAAATAAAGTTTTTTGTTACTTTAATGAAGAGTTTTTATTGGGCAGAGAGCCTTTTCCCTCCCTGAACTGGCTCAGAATGGGTGGGCAGCGAGAGAGTGAAAAAGAGAGACTACGAGAAAATTAAAAATACAATATTTAGTAATTAAATATTGACATTTGTTTTAATGATACTTTATTACAAAGGACCTTATTTATTTAGATCCTTAAGGACCTTGAATAAACAATCGGCTGGTTCTTCCCTGGATTGATGTTAGACAGATGACCTATTTGCATTTTCCTTTTTGTCCTTTTGAATGTCTGGAAAACTGTTCGTGTGAAGGAGCCAGTTTATCAGTGTAAGGATAAGGAAAAGATAAGTTGGTATCATTCCACATGCTGGAAGTAGCGTCTGTATTTACATATGTGATTATTTATTGAAAAACTTTAATGTTAAATTAACACAATACATTTATTGCTTTTATTTTTATCTGAGTTGATAATATCAGAAGGTATTTGGAAATTACATATTTTATCTGGCAGGAATGAAATTACTGATCTATTTAGTTTATTTTTTCATGTGATTTTTTTCTTATAACTATTGCTAGATGATATATTTATCTTTGTTACCCTGTTTCCCTGAAAATAAGACAGTGTCTTATATTAATTTTTTCTCCCAAAGTTGCACTAGGTCTTATTTTCAGGGGATGTCTTATCTTTCCATGCGCTAGGTCTTATTTTCGAAGGATGTCTTATTTTCGGGGAAACACAGTAGTAAAGTGTTTCTTATGATTAAAAAAATATTTGTAAAAATCCCTTACTGCTGTAATTCTATTCTGGGGCCAGGGTCAGAACAAGTCCGTCTGTTCGGTCGCCATCTTGTCCTCCTTCTCCCTGTAATTCTATTAGTTTTGAAAATTGACATTAATTTTAGGGTAGCTTTCGTTATTTTTTAATTTAGAGAAACATTATTTTTTGTCTTTTTCATTTTTTTAGTATGCATTTCAGCTCATTAAAATTAGGATCAATTAGCATTGTGAAAGATAATTTTGTTTTACTTATACAGCCTAAAGCCTCATCTACTTTTTTGAGATTTATTACTTCTACCTCTACCTTTAAGTAAACGGGATCTTATGTGTTCCTTTATCAATTTCAGATAAGTTTAAGAAAAACTACTAATAGTTCTTTTAGAGAAAATGTCTGTTATCTAAGTAAACATGGTCTTTAAGAATTACTACTGATAAGAAAAATACAGTTCAGAAATGTTTAATCTTTTGTAATAGAAGTCAGTGGCCAACCATGGTTCAGTGATCCTCTTGCTGTCAATAATTTAGGAAATTGCAGGTGTAATAAAGCTATTTGGTCTCTGAAGTACTTTACTGAATGTTGTGTAGAAAAAGGACCTGACTCTTGTAAATTCCTGACACTGAAAAGTGAAAAAAATTTCAACTTCACCTTGTTTTGCTCACTACTTTGAAATTTTATTGTAAAAAATGCAAAAATAGAAATCTGTTGTTGATGAAATGAGAATCGATAAATGCACATTAAAAAATTGTCAATATGAATAAATGTATACTTTAACTTCATTTAAAAATTAATCATATGCATTAGGATAGATTCTATTCAGTTTGTTAGAATTGGAGCTACAATTAGCACTCAATTTAGCAGGATGGTGAAAATGGGACGAAGTTCAGCAATAAACAAAAAGCCCAGTAAAAAGAAGAGTGAACAGTGATTATCAAAGGAAGGAGAAGGAAATATGTTGTGGAAAAGAGATTCACTATGGGTAAATTCATCTTGTAGGAATATGCTTACTCTAGGAGATTGGTTTAGTATTTATCCAGAGGGTAATTGTGGAAGATGGCTGCCATGCCCTCTCCCCAAAGGAACCAAGCCTGTGGGGCATCAAACAGCGCAGATTTCTGGATTCTGCTGTTTCCTGAGACCTAGTAATCAGAGCTGC